GCTACAGAGGGAAAGACATGGCAGCATAGCAGAGGTGGAGGGTGAGTGAAATGTATCTTCATTGGGAGCACTGAAAGAGAACAAGTTTTTCAAAGTTGTTGCCGGTATTTCATGAAAGCCCATGCTGCTACCACAGTGAGGGCAAACAGTGGCACCAGCACCATAAATATGGGAATACCACTTGGGTCCCCTTCACCTCGATGTCCTATAGGTCCATTCTGCACCTGTAACTGGAAGGGAAAGAAAAACATTAACTCTAGTGACTAACGTGTGTTTACAACTGAAACGCCCAGGTTGATACATCACCTGGGTTTGTAGACTGTAGCCCACCCAAAGCTGTATCCCTCAGCAATACCTAGCAGAAGGAGTCCTCTCTTTATCCTGAGCTGATGTATCAGTGTCACAGGATCTTTGGAAAGAAAATAGGTCTGATGGGGAAGCATTTAACCTTGCTGACCTAAAGGGACTCCTGAGGGCAAATCAAGTAATTTCTGTTTCTGTACTGCCTGTACCTTATCGTATCAGGAAAATGAAGATATGACATAAAACCTACGATCCTATAGGGAACTTGGATATTACTTGGTGAGGAAGAAGGGAGATCTTTCTGGAAATGTTTAGTTCAATAATCAGTCATCGAAATGTACTAAGAGCAGATTTGGGCAATGTCAACATAGGTGTAATGCCAACATCGGTGCAATGCCATTACTTGAAAAATGCTTTCCAAATCCCAGAAGGAATCAAACTCCCTCCAAAGATGGAGTTTTGCCCTTCATCTGCTCATTTCTAATACTAGACAGGGATGAAGGTGAATCTATATGGAATAGATGTGAAAAGAAATTATATTCTAGTGGTTATAATTTTCTATTGCCTAAGTGTTTCCTTTGAGGCTGGATGGTCTTCATTTTGGTGATGGTTTTCAAAGTGGCTTTTCTTTTTTTTTTTTTGAGACGGAGTTTCACTCATGTTACCCAGGCTGGACTGCAATGGCGCGATCTCGGCTCACTGCAACCTCCGCCTCCTGGGTTCAGGCAATTCTCCTGCCTCAGCCTCCTGAGTAGCTGGGATTACAGACACGCGCCACCATGCCCAGCTAGTTTTTTGTATTTTTAGTAGAGACGGGGTTTCACCATGTTGACCAGGATGGTCTCGATCTCTTGACCTCGTGATCCACCCGCCTCGGCCTCCCAAAGTGCTGGGATTACAGGCTTGAGCCACCGCGCCCGGCCAAAGTGGCTTTTCTTAATATCAACTTTTAGTGGCTAACTTGCAATAAGTATGGCACCATCGTATTTCAGTTAGACTTAACTTCCTCATTACAATTCATAAAACTCTAACCCTTCAATCTGAAAGGCAAGACTGCACAAAACACCATTATACCCTCTATTCCACCTCTACGTTTTTCATTCATTTGCTGATGAGCTGTCTTGAGAGGACGTGATCAATAGGAAGACATGGTTTTTAGGGCTAGGCCAATTCCTTGAACAGAAGGGTCTTTTTTATTAGGAACTGTTTATGGATGTTTCCTTAAAAGTGAACCCTGGAAATAACTTTCCACATACCTTCCAAAACAACTATAATCATACTGAAGTGTGTGCCTGTATTTACTTGTCTTTATCTTCTGCACAAATGCTCCCATGCTTTAGAAAGAGAAGAGCCAAGGCAGAAGCAACTGATGAACAATAATATTTCTTATTAACCTGTTTTCTAATCCATTACACCCAGATGCTGCTTGCAACTCTGGTTGTTTTCTCAGTTATCTTTCACGTTCTGTCTTCTCTACTCTTTTAATAACTCCTCTCAGTCTTCTTAAGCTGCTAAACCGTTAGCCACTGAGTGAGGGAAAGAGTGCACCAATTTAAGAAGCAGCAAATCGATTACTTAATTTAAAGGCACATGGGACCTGTTTTGTGAATGTACTCAGAAAGTCTCAGTGCGATAAGAGGAATTATATCTACCCAGGATTCCCTTTACAACATCATCCAAATTATAAAACACTAAGAAATAAGAAACAGATGCAGGGATAGATGCTGCCTTGACTAAATTCCATTTCCCTTTTCCTGGAGCTCTTTTATAAACACTAAAGCTTTGGTTAAGAGGGTCACCAAATTGATAAATGAAGGGTTCACGGCAGTGACAGGCAAAGGCATACAGTGGGTACCAGAAAACCCACCCTCTTTGTAGTTAAGAGTTTTATCAAATGGTTTATAAATGAGTTTTCAAGGGTGGACATACAGTTCCTTCCCTACCAAAAAGCAAAATAAGCTATGTTTTTTTTTCACCATCTTTTTAAAAATTAATGAATTTATTTATTTGCCATTGGTTCATATGACTCTTAAAATTTTGTATGTATTTATTATTATTTTTTAAAGAGATGACGTCTCTCTGTAAACCATCTATTTTAATTTGGTTGTCAAGCTTTATCTTTAAGGCATACTACCTTGAAGCGAGGACCTGGGTTATAAGCCATACTGTTGTGAATTTTTCTTTTTTCTTTGAGACAGGGTCTCACTCTCTTGCCCAGGGTGGAGTACAGTGGTATGATCTTGGCTCACCACAACCTCTACCTCCTGGGTTCAAGCAATCCTGCCGCCTTAGCCTCCTGAGTACCTGGGACTACCGGTGTGCCTAAAATTTTTGTATTTTATAGAAGTTGTTCACTATGAAAAGCCCATACAACTTCTACTATGAAACTACTACTGTGACTGAAATTTTTATATTTTTAGTAGAGAGGAAGTTTTGCCATGTTGGCCAGGCTGGCCTACTCCTGGCCTGAAACGATCCACCTGCCTTGTCCTCCCACAGTTGGGATTACAGGCATGAGCCACTGCACCTGGCCTGAATTTCCTTCAATGATAAGCAGAAGTACCAATGGACCCCTTCCTTTGCCTGAGAAACTCTTGAAAGGAGTGAGGGTAAAACAAACAAAAAGCAACACTGAAGATTACACACACTGGGTTTATTCAGAAATACGGTGCAAAGCCTGCTGCCAGGTTTCTGGCTTGAAGTGATACCTACCCTGTGCTGCACTCTCAGAGATACAGCATAGCCTGCATTACGAAAGAGGTCTACAGCATCTTGGTGCAGCAGGTTCTTTAGGTCTTGGCCATTGACCTGTCAAAACAGCAAAGAAGAGTAGTAAGAAAGGCAGAAGGCTATCACAAGCCAACAATTTATTTTCAAATAGCCAAACTTTAAATAACAAACTCTTTCAGAGCCAATTGCAAGGACTAGGAGCATGGGCAAAGTTACTTAGAACTTTTTTCATTTTCAAACTATGTTTTCCTAGCACTGAAGTTTCACAGGCCATTTGAAGAGAACCTAAATAAAATAAAATAAAAACTTGTCTCTCCTTCCTCTTAGCTTCTATGCCTGTCTCATTTTGACACTTGGGAATCTGTTACTGTATTACTATTTCTTCCATGAGCATTAACCTGCTTCCCTACAGATAGCATGATCTTCCAGGTTACCACCCTATCCTTTATACTCCTAAGCCCTGGCATTGCCAGCTATAACTCTAGAAATATAACTCTATCAAACTCTCTGCCAATTTATTTTTGTGTGGTATAAATCTACACTAGCCCATTCTATTGGGCTTTTCATAGTGATCAACTTCCCTTGATTCCACAGATACTACTATCCATCACTTCTGACTTAGTAGCCATTTTTTATCAAAATTTACTAAAAACCATCTTCCTGTGATGATATTCAATCCTTGAAAAAATTTGAATGTAGGTCACTCCTACCACTTAGAGGTGAGAGATGTGAAGGAATACTGGCATTAATACTTTCTGCTGTTAGGAGTGACACTAGCCACAAGTAATAATCCATCCTATACTAGCCAGGAGTAATAATCCATCCTATACTGTATTCAGCAGAGCCTACTTAGTGCAAGATTATGTATCTTTTATACATGTCAATGCCTTCATTAACAGCAATGGCAGCAAGAAAATCTGATGTATTTGATAGGTTCTATACTTTACATGTTATCTAATTTAATTCTCATGATTACCCTATGAGGTAGACATTATTTTTATCTTGTTTCCACAGACGAAGAAATGAAGCTTAGTGAGATTCACGCTGCAGCTAAGGCTAGGATATGTAAATAATAAAAGAGAAAGATCAGAGTGCCCTTGCATTTCACTGTTCCTTCTGCACTATTATTCTTCCCTCATGACGCAACAGCTATCCTCTGCTCAGCTGATGCTCAAGTCACTTATTCAACTCTCTCATTTTCGTTGTCACCATCTTCCTTCTCCAAGCCATTCATAATCTTCCCTCTACTCTATCTCTTACCAATATACTTGGTGAATAAATCTACCGACACTTCTGCCCTATAGACTGTCTACCTTTGTAAACCAATAGTTTCCAACTCGATTCCACTTCAGTCACCAATTGACATAAATTTAGACTTCAATATTAGACATGCTTCAGCTCTAATATCTCAAACTCTTAAAAATCTGACCACAATTTCCACTCTTCTCACACTTTCTATTCATCTACAGAATTTCCTCCTTGACCTCATAAAAGTCTTTCACCTTTTTAGACTTTATTTGCATCTTTGCTCATCTAGGAGTCCCTGTTGTAATTTCAACAAAGCACTTGGTAAATCATTAGAATCCTTTGTCTCCATGATCTTCCACCATCTTTCCAGTCCTGGGCCATATTCCGCAATACTTTTCTTGCCATCATCAGATTCCTCTTCCTAAAGTACAATTCTGTTAGTAGCACTTTACTGCTCAAAAAACAAAAAGAAAATTGGGTTGCAAGGAAAGAGTACACACCTCGTTTCTTATGCTGATATGGAGAGTCTTCTAGGGAATGGCTCTAACCTGTCTTCTCAGGTCCATCTCTCACTGCGTCCTTTCCTATATCCTATACTCTAGCTAAGTCACATAACTCACGGACTGGGACATAAAACATATTTTTTGCCTTTATACCTGTGCTCAAACTGTCTCTGCCACCTGAATGCTCTTCCCTGTTAAAAAATTCTATTTATCAAGCGGCCTGAGGTGAGTGGTTCTCCTGTGTTGCTCCAAGGGCTCAATCCTCCTGCCATCGCCGCCATCCTGGCCTCGGGGGCGGCGGCCTCCAGGACCCGGTGAGGAGAACTCCCAAGGCTACTAAATCCTCGCTGGTGGCGATGGTTTCTTACGCGGGGGGACGTGCTGAGCGCCGACTTTGGAAGCCGGTGCCGATCGGCCTCTGCTTTTCGCAGAGGAACGTGATGGGCGGGAGTGAGGACGACCGGGCCCCTCCACTGGTAGGGGCGGGCGGGTGCGGGTCGCCGGTGGTCCATGCCGACTCCGGACGTCCAGTGTCTAGCGGTAATCTGTGAAAATGGTTCGCTATTCACTTGATCCGGAGAACCCCACAAAGTCATGCAAATCAAGAGGTTCCAATCTTCGTATTCACTTTAAGAACACACGTGAAACTGCCCAGGCCATCAAGGGTATGCATATACGAAAAGCCACGAAGTATCTGAAAGATGTCACTTTACAGAAACAGTGCGTACCATTCCGACATTACAATGGTGGAGTTGGCAGGTGTGCCCAGTCCAAGCAATGGGGCTGGACACAAGGCCGGTGGCCCAAAAAGACTGCTGAATTTTTGCTGCACATGCTTAAAAATGCGGAGAGTAATGCTGAACTTAAGGGTTTAGAGGCAGATTCTCTGGTCATTGAGCGTATCCAAGTGAACAAAGCACCCAAGATGCGCCGCCGGAACTACAGAGCTCACGGTCGAATTAACCCGTACATGAGTTCTCCCTGCCACATTGAGATGATCCTTACTGAAAAGGAACAGATTGTTCCTAAACCAGAAGAGGAGGTTGCCCAGAAGAAGAAGATATCCCAGAACAAACTGAAGAAACAAAAACTTATGGCACGGGAGTAAATTCAGTGTACAAAAAATAAATGCAACAAAAAGGAAAAAAAAAAAAAATTCTATTTATCTTCTAAGACGGATTCTAATAAAGGATCAGTCCTGCTACCTACAGTGTAGAAATGAATACAGAGTTTTCTACACTGTAGAAACTTGAGAGACTTTAATTTCATGTTATGCCTTGGTTTTCTTGGTAGATATGCTGTAGGGAAAGAACTTCAGGATTCGTATAACTATTACAATAAATTCTCAATGACTCAGTTTTCTACTTAACTCCTGGGAGACAGAATAGGTGTGAGATTGCTGACTGTCATGAGAATGCTCACCTAAGTAATCTAACCCATGTGATAACTCTTATTTCTCAGTATAAAGAATTATTTTCTCTAGAGGCAGACAAATAAGTTAATGATGCAGTCATATCAGAGCCAAGGTTTCACAGTAATATAAATGCAAATGAAATAACTGAGTCACTACATTAAATGGTAGAAATACTGGGTTTAAAATAATCTTTGCCATGGTAGTCAGTAATGATTGCAGAGAATTACTGAACATTACCATGTCTGGAGCTGTCTACTCATCTTACATGTATTAACTCATTTAGTCTTCACAGGAGTTCTGTAAGTTAGGAAGCCCTATTTTATAAATGATAAAACTGAGGTGTAGAGGCTATCAACTTACCTGTGAGCATATAGAATGAAAGCCGCAAAGTCAAGGATTCAAACTCAAGCAGGCTGGCCCAAAACCCTTCACTTTAAAACACTAACCTATATGAATTTACATGGCAAGCAAGGATTTTATTTTAGCAACATATTATTGCCTATCACATTTATGCTGTAAATTAAATTTTTATTGGTTTTGCCATTTTGTTTGTATTTAATGTTACACATTTTAAAAATGTTAGAGTTTAAAAAAAACAAGGTATTTATAAATATTTCTATTCATTTGTATATATGGAAGTAGTATTAAAATTAAAAAAAAAAATTTAGTTAGGTGCCACTTCATTGTCAAGGTCTTTCTAGATAACTTCACTACAAATGACTGAATTACTTCTTTGAATACTCTGTAACTCTGAATCCTATGCAACTATATATTTTGAATACTACGTAACTCTCTTAAAGTCCAAATAGAACTCTGTCTGATATGGCTTTACATTCTATTGTAACTTCAAGATGTATCTCAGCTGATCATTAACACTACAATACCTAAGAGAACTTTGTACACTTGAGCATAATAAATAACACATGCTTTCCCAAAGTTCGGCTGCAGAGTGCACCCTGAGAAAGCCATAAATACACAAAGCCTGACTGACATAATCTCAGTATTACATAAAGCGGAAAGGCTTGGACTCTAATAGTAGCTTTACCTGCCAATGATTCAGTGTGTAATCTTGCCCCTCATCTGAATCTCCTTCTGCTAACAGGGAAGAAAGACATTGGTACATCAGGCAAAAGAAGGTGTTATAAAGGGCATAGGCCAGTTAAGCCAATTATGCCTTTCAAGCCTCCTAGTTAAGCCTAAAGGTATTCTAATATAAGAGAAGTTATTCTAATGACTACTTTAAAACCCCAAGTAAAAGACCTTTTAGAAATGCAAAGGTAATTATTTTTTAAATAACCATCTCTCTTGGCCAGCTCAGTGGCTCACGCCTATAATTCCAGCACTTTGGGAGGCCAAAGTGGGTGGATCACGAGGTCAGGAGTTTGAGACCAACCTGACCAACATGGTGAAACCCTGTCTCTACTAAAATTACAAAAACTTAGCCAGGCATGGTGGTGAGTGCCTGTAATCCCAGCTACTTGGGAGGCTGAGGTAGGAGAATTGCTTGAACCCAGGAGGCAAAGGTTGCAGTCAGCCGAGATTACGCTACTGTACTCCAGCCTGGGTGACAGAGCAAGACTTTGTCTCAAAAAAAGGAATGATTTCTCATCCACTACACAAGATAAACCAGCCCCTAAAACATGATCCTGACTTTCTCCCTTGACAATGTCATTTCTACTCCAAAATTGAATTTGCTCTCCAATACTGACATCCTCTAAACATTTTTAGATTCCAGCTGCTCAGTGACTAACCACCAAGCTCTGTAGATTTAGCATCATTTTACAGAGACTTCAAAGCCTGTAATAAATAAATACTTAAGTACATTTAATGGTTATAGCCTAGATGTTCACTTAAGGACAGGGAGGGAATAGGATGTTAGGGGTGAATGATGCAACAGGCTAATTCATAATATTTTTTAAGGAATGGGACCTAGAAAGAATAATTTTGAAGCAAACTCTTGTAATTCTCACATGTCAAGGGAGGGACCTGGTGGGAGGTGATTGGATCATGGGGGCGGTTTCACCCATGCTGTTCTCGTGATAGTGAAAGAGTCCTCATTAGATCTGGTTGTTTGATAAGTGTCTGGTGTTTCCCCCTTCACTGTCTCTCCTGCCACCTTGTGAAGGTACTTGCTTCTCCTTCACCTTCCACCATGATTTTAAGTTTCCTGAGGTCTCCCCAGCCAAGTGGAACTGTGAGTCAATTAAACTTCTTTTCTTTATAAATTAATCCAGTCTCATGTAATATCTTTAGAGCAGTGTGAAACAGACTAATACAACCCCACATATGTCTTCTGTTGCTGCCTCTCCTTCCCCTGGCTTTTTCCCCTCTTCTTTTGCATGCCTTTTCCTTAAATGGCCAGAAATAAACATATCATTCCTTGTAACATATCTTCGTAATATTTAATATCTTGTATATATCTTTATGTTTCTTATATTTTAGTAAAGTAAAATCCTCTTTGCTATAAATTCAGACACCTACTTTTCTCCCACCATTTATCAGTAGCCCCAGCCCTTTTTGAAAACCTGAGAGGCCTTCCAATTAATTTTTCTCTGTGAGGCAATGATTCACACAAGGTTCCTCATCTTGGCTTATATCTAATAATTTTTTTTTACATTGAGGTTTATTTCCTTCTTTCTAATTCTACCCTTTATAGAAAGACTAATTTCAGGTTTTATCTTATTTTATTTATTTATTTTGAGACAGAGTCTCACTCTGCCGCCCAGGCTGGAGTACACCGGCGCAATCTCAGCTCTTTGCAACCTCCACCTCCCAGGTTCAAGTGATTCTCGTGCTTCAACCTCCTGAGTAGCTGGGACTACAGGCGCATGCACCAAGGAATGTGCCACCGTGCCCAGCTAATTTTTTGTACTTTTTTTTTTTTTTTTTTTTTTTTTTGGTAGACATGGGGTTTTGCCATGTTGGCCAGGCAGGTCTCGAACTCCTGGCCTCAAGTGATCCAACTTCCTCAGCCTCCCAAAGTGCTGGGATTACAGGCATCAGCCACTGCACCTGGCCTAATTTTAGTTTTTATATAAAGCCATACATGCAATCTACTATTAATTCACTGTGTAACTTTGTCTTTAGGATAAGTAATCCTAGCTCCTGATTTACCTTTTAGGAGTCAGTATAACATAGTGGTTAAAAAACAAAGGCTACAAATTCAGACAAACCAGTTTTAGTCCCTTGCTGCTTACTAGTTGTGTGACCTTGGGCAAACGGCTTGAGCACAATAATCATGCCCACCTCATAGGGTTACTATAATATTAAACAAAATAAAATTTGGGTTGTTAGCATGCTACTTGACATTTAGGGCTGATATACTTCTCACCATTCTCATTCTGCAATAAGCTACCTTTAACCAAAGCTTTTAAAATAATATAGCTCTCTTCTTTCTCTTCTTAACTCCTATATTATTCAAGTCTTTCTTCATCAACAGAGCCCAGGTTCCAGTGATCTGAAGAGAATGTAATTTATGTGTCAAAATATTAAGATGCACAGATTCTAACTAAATGCTACACCTTTATTTTAACAACCCACTCTCAGCACTTCCTTACAGTACTACTGCCAAGTTGATTCATACTGGAAGAATGTCTTTCCCTGGAAGCTAAAGGAAATAATCTACTTCTAAACTTTTCACTATCGTTTTGAGAAGACAGGTATATTATCACTGTCTCCATCTCACAGATTAATAAATAGGGTCTAAGTGAAGCTTAATGGACTGAAGAGAGGCAAAATACTCGATGAGAAGGAGTGAAATACTGCTGTGCATACCGTATTTATATTATGGATCAGCGAGGACACATGCTTAGACGTTCTTAAGTCAATTTAGGAGGCTCTAATAGCTACTTGTTCTGATTTTCTTTCTTTTTTGAGGACTAAGTGGAGTCATAGTCTTCCTGAAGAGGCATTCAGAACCATACTGCCTAGCCTGATCACTAAAATACTCAGATGCCAAATGAAGAAAAGGTAGATGTTCTCTGTCTCTTTTCCTTTGTATCTCTGCCTTCAGGTACTGCTACCAAATTGGCTGCATGGCAGAGAAGTGGTCAATAAGCTGGCAGCTAAGAGGAGCAGGAGACTTCACACATATGACCTTTAATCACTAATCAACTGAACTGCATGAGAAGTGGTGTGAAAAGGAAAATTCAAATGAAACTATATAGCAAAAAATGTTTAAGGAATGACGCTGACTTATTATAGAGGTAGGTTCAAAATCATGTCTCTGAGGCTAATACTTAATTCTGTCAATCAAGACTTCTCCTGTCTGTACTTCATTCATTTATTTCAACCTTTTCCCAACCTGGCGATCCTGCCCTATTCAGTTCTAAGATAAAACAGGGAATAGTTTTCTCCTCTTCAGACCATGGGCTTATGGCCCACCTGGAAAAGATAGGAGTTACTGCTATGAGAAGCCCTATCCTATTTCAATTTCCTTTTATTTATCTAGCCCTTTGAAGCCAGCTCTCCCAAGAATATTCTAGATAATATCTCACCCCCTCAGCACTCTTCCAATCTTTATACCAATCATCTATCTATACTGTTTCCATACAAGTAATAAGTTGGCCATTATTCACTAGCCCTAAAGGTTACTAAAAAAAGAAATTCTACAGAGTAATTATCTCCAAGATACTCCCTTATCCCCCAGCAACTGATAGTATCATATTATTACCGTAGCCCATGGTAAGGTAGAGAAATGAACAGTAGGGTC